AGTCACAAATACAAAATATCATTATATATAAATATCCATCAATATCCAAGAACATCTAAAACATTCATTAACAAGATAACAATATCCAAAAGTTTCATCTATAGTGTAAATGTGTAATAAACAAACACTATCATTAATATTTTGAGACTTCATCATTACTATAATCAATTATTCTTTTTTATAAGTATACTTTTCTTTTGTAACAAAAATATCAAATTTTTTATAGAAATTTCACTTTTAAATTTTACAATCTGGCTGTTATTTTACTTTAGTTTGAGAAACATTGTTGTTGAAACTCATAAATTTCTCATTCAAATTATAGAATCACAAGTTATATAAGTATAATACCCTCTTATCCAATATAGATATATAGTTTAAAAATATCAACATACATAACATAAATCAAATCATTATTAAAGTCCAAATTAACCTATTTTTTTAAAAATTTAATTAACCAAACTATTGTGTAAAACTAATAAATCAAATCATTTTGTGAAATTTAATTTTAAAATGATAATAATAACTAAATATTTGGAATATCATTAACAATATAAAAAATTAATAATATTAGAATTACATAAAAATTTTAAAAAGAGAAAAAGATTATAAAAAGGCCAACCCGTTTAAGCCCTCGGCTCTAAAAGACTGGCCCTGTAGGGCCTGTTTTACATTTGAGAGGAAAAATTTTAAGCCCAACCCTCATAATTTTTAGGCCTAAAAGGACTAGCCGGTTTTCCCGGCTCTATCCTTCTCTAGCTTTCCCATTTATTCTCATGCCCAGACTAGATGTGGGAATGATTCCTGATTCAATTATGTTCTCGGGACACTATTAATCAATAATCATTGATCAATTTTTTGAAGTGAAAAAAATAAATAAATAAATATAAGAGATAAAATAAACTGAGATCTTATATTTAAAATTGAATTAAATTTTTGACCAGCTTTTATATTTAAAAGCTTATGTAGTAATTTTCAATTGATTATCAGAATAATTAAAAAAATGTAATAGACACTAAGGTATTGTTTGGTTATAGGGTTTTTGAGGAGAGGAGGCGAAGGGAAGGAAAGGGAGAATGATAAATGTGTTTGGTTGGAAGGAAGGAAATGGAGGGGAGCAAAATTTTTTGTCTACTGCTCCCTCTTTTTTTTATTTCTTTTTAAAAGTAGGGTTTTTTAAAAGAGAGAGAAACAATTACTCTCATCTGACAATTATATCCATTTTATCTGTTTGGTATTCCAAGTCTACCCATCGAAATTTCAGCCTCTTCTTCGCGCGTTCCCTTACCAATTCACCGTGCATATAATCTGATCGCACCGGCAATGACATGAGCTCGAGCTGTTTCGAGGAGGATATCAGATGCTTATAAAATACAACCTCTCGTCCAGTCGCTGTTCTTCCTCTTTTTTTTTTTAATCTTCTTCGTGCTTCTGAATCGCTTCTCTTCTCTCCTGACTCTTGGTCTGTCATTTGGATGCGCCACTGTTTTTGTGTGTGTGTCTGTGTGTATGTTGTTTGTGCGTCTATACTCGCCATTCTTCAACTCTCTATACAAACGCGTGGCATAATTATAAATATCAGATAAAATATATACATTAAATGTTAATTTATAATTATATTTTCTTAAGTATTTTACAAAATTTGAAAAAAAAAAAAACAACTTAAGCAAAATAAGGATAAACTTGTCCATGTAAAAACTGTTCTTCTTCTCTCCCTTTCTGAACCAAATAAGATAACATTAAAATCTCTCTCTTGTTCTCTGTCCTATAAAATCCCTCCTCTCCTCCTGACTCTTTTTTTATCTATTAAAATCATTTCCTTCCCTTTTCCTCAAATGAACCAAACGCACGCTAAGGGGTGTTTAGTTTAAGCCAAAAGTATTTTTAAAATTTTTTATATAAATTGAGATAAAAATTTTTTTATATATTTATTTTATAGACTGTAAATTACTTTTAAAATTATGATTTAATTTTAACCGAAAACCTTTTTGTTCTTGTCTGGGACATACGCCTGAAATTTGTTGTATTCGGAATGAAGCTGGGAAGCGGGAATGGAAGTATGAGCGTGAAATTGAGGTTTTGAAATTTTGTTTGGACGAAGTAATATTTAAAGGAACCCCTGCGTTAGTTTTATTTTAGAGAAATCATTAAAAAAAACTTTAAAATTTAAAAAACACAGATAAGGATCTATAACAGTAGTTTTACTGTAGCTTTTAACAATAATAATATATCATGAAGTTGTCAAAACCCACAGTGAAGTTGTCATGGATCTCTATCTATGTTTTTCAAATTCTAGAGTCTTTAATTGCAATTTTTTCTTTATTTTATACTCCTTCGAATTCTAAATATAATACTTTTCTGATTCTTAATATAAGACTCATTTAATTAATTTGATTAAATTAAGAAAGTTAGGTAAGTTAGTTAATTATAAGAAAAATGACACATTTTTCCTAAAACACCATAATTATCTTTTTCAATACTCCTCTCCCTCTTCTACTTGATTATGGTTGATGGAGTATACATAGTGGTAATTTAAAAAAAATTAATAAATATGATAAATGAATCTTATATTTAAGACCAAAATCAACTTAAAAATTAGTTCCTATATTAAAAACCGAAGAAATAGAAAAGTAATAAATTATAAGTTACAGAAAGACTATTATACCCGTATGAAAATATTATAGAGGAAACTTTCTCTAGGGTTTTCGCCTCTTTTCCCCCCAATCCAGATCTCGTCCAGCCGCATGGCGTGGTCCGTCTTCCTCTTGTGCCGCGGCATCAGTTTCTTCAGGCAGCCATAATCGCCCTTCCCTCTCCCATTTAAAACTTGTTACACCCTCTATTTCTACCCCTCTAAAAACCAATCCTAGTTTTCTGATATATTACGGGAACCCAAAACCAAGACGATGTGATCGCCTCTGAGCAGAGTTGGTCTGCTGCTCACCTTCATGGGATTTGCCTCGTCTCTCTAGAACTTCCATTACCGATATCTTCACTTCGATAGGACCACATGGAGCTTACTCGTCTCCATCATCGTCGAAAGGTGTGAGATTACTTCCATATATTTGCATATGTTATTGATTATTTACTAGATTTCTCTCATGTGCCAATTAGCTTCTTGTCCATCGTCTTGCTCCTTTTAGGATCTGTTCACCGCTAGTTTGAAGTTTCGTTGGTTTGGGGTTCAGTCATGGGTTCGAAGCTTTTGGTTTTGTTCACAGCCCACCTGAAGCTTCACTGGCTTGGGTCTGGTCACAGGTTTGCGGTGGGACGACAGAGGAAGCAGATCGGACTGTAATTACTTGCTCCTCCTTCGCTGGTGGTTGTTTCTCTCTCGTCGGCGAGTAGCAAATGGCGGCTGGAGAGTGGAGGAAGGAAATCAAGAGACGGGGGAAGAGAGGCTTGGGATTGGGCAAAATAGGAATTTGAAAAATATTACAGTCATAATTTGGTAAGAAAATGTTCAATCCTATGACTAATCTTCTAATCTCTGTGGTAGGATGGGATTAGGACTCCTATCTCATTCGAAAACATCAGAGGTTTTTCTTTCTTTTCCTTTTTCCCCCTTAATAATTCGAAAACATGAAAGTTAGCATCACCCAATTGCAACCCCTGAATCCCAGATCCCAGTTACCCATAATCATGAATATAACAACTTATTCATGATACTCTTGTTTTTAATGCGTGAGAGTTACATCTGCTTAACAAAGGAATAAAGAGCGAACTTGTATCTAGCACCTTTGACTTTATTTTTGAGGTTGATCTAATATCTTAGGGGGTGTTTGGTAAAATCAGAATCACGGTTTCAGAATCAATTTTTCGCAAAACGAGTAATCTCCTCTACATATTTATTCCTCTACATATTTATTTCGTAATTCGTAAAAACATTTCTGAAACCATGGATTGATTTCTATCCAAACATTCCCTTAATCTTTTTATGGAGCCTGTGTTGTGAATATTATTGATGTTATGTATGAGTGTGTAAAAAGAAAGAGGCGTTTCAATATTGTTTAAATATTTTTAATATGAAGAGATCTTATTTTTTTGGAAAATCATGCCCTTATAAATTAAGGAATGTGTTGGTTCATGAATCAACTTGTGGGACTCATGAATCTAACATATAATTACAACTTTTAATTGAAGAGGTATACTACTTCAAAACATCACTTTATTATCTATAAATGCCCTCACCATCAATCCATTTGGATGAATCATAAGAAGAAACTTTTTGTCCCTTGTTTCCTTTATCTTTCTTTGTTGTTCTATCACCCTATAGTCACATGAGAAGGATTCATTTAATCTTGGAGAGTATCGTTTCTTAATTCATTCAGGGCTGCGAAGTACCCCTTAAGAATAGGATCCTTATGACACGACTCTAACAGTATATTTTTGTTGTTTTGTAGACTTTCCCAACACCCTGATCTTATTTTCTTGGCACATACCTCAATATTACTTTTTCAGTTGCATTTGTTACCCTATTAGAGTGCGAATGTGGTAAAAATAAGATTAATATCTGCATTAAGAAAAACACAGATTACCGTGCATCGTCACCCAAGTATAAATGGAATGTAGCTTTATTTTATTTTTTTTGGGGTGCTAAATCAATCTATGTGCAAAAATGGGAAAACATGAAGATAAATATGTGCTATTACCTATGCTGATCTTTTTCCTTTTTGGTTTAATTTGTCCAGAATTCAAAGAGGAAGAGCAAAAGCACATCGCGTGCAAGCTAAGGATCAGCACTGACGTCTCCTTTGATAATGCTAGAATTGAAACTGAGTAAGATTTATTATGTCTTGAGTTGAGTTAGAACAATCGCAAGAAAATGATTTTTTTTCCCTTTCTGTTATTATAGCACGAGGGAAGAAAAATAACTACGGATCTGAGTGCTGAATTTTCCAATAGATAACTGATGCTGCAGGATAAAGAGGTTTCATCAATAAAAGGGTTCGTAGTGACAAAATCAAGTCTAGAAACCATTCCAGACATTTATTCACAGAAGTTCAGAGTCCCATTCTCTCACCCTCTAATTACCCCAAATAGCGCACAAGGAAAGCTCAACTTTAATCTTGGAAGCCTTGCTAAGACCCAGAGCAATAATGCCTAGCAGAGAGCAAGCTTGAACAGTCATGAGTAGCATCCTCGTCGTACGACTTATCTTTGGCTCAGCAGTTTTAACCAACACATCTCCCTGATTGTCTATGGGTACAGAGTACTGACCATCCTGTGCTGTGGTCTCTTCCGCCGCCGCAAGTTGGGCAAGGTGAAGAGCAGACACCTTCTCTTCAAGATGATCTGGCATGCCATAAACCTTCCTCTCGTACTCGCCTCTCCCTCTCTTGCTCCGCAACTCAAGCATAGCAACCACGGGTCTTGTACGAGATCGAGACAACGCAAGACCAGGGTATTCTTTCTTTCTGAATACGAAGATGCTCGAGTTAGTATCAGGAAAGACCCGTTTGTTGGCGTGAGAATGGTCCAATAATACTGAATCCACGTAAATAATGGCGTTGTTCTTCATCTTCTTGAAGTGCAGCTTAGCCGCAGCGATATTGTCCATGTTGTTGCCGGAGATCACCAGTATGTCTGCTTTAGGAACAACATCATCAAGGGTCGTGACCACTGAGAAACCTCGGAGCTTGGCTTGAATAGTGAGGTGGGAATCAACCTCGAACACAACCACTTTAGCATCAGCCTGTTTTAGTGCAATAGCACATATCTCGCCAGCGTGTTCGTATCCACACACAACGGCTTGTTTCACCCGAATCATCCCATCGGTGGCTTCCTTTATGCCCTTAAAAAGAGCGTAGAGGAAATCGGTTGACTCGCTGATCTGTTAACGCAAACATCAGGCATATAATTATAATAATAATAATGAGTTTTTCCAAAACTAGCAAGAGGATATTAATGGACGTGCACAGTGTTTTATGAGACCATTGCGAAAAATCAAACACAGCAGGGTATGTAAAACAACTAAAAGCTGGTGACTCTACCCTGTTACGGAGTTATAAAAAGTTAGGGCACACCGCCAGCCACCATTTGCCAAATAAAATGGTCACGGGATCTCTCGTTCTTTCCCGTCCTGTTTGGCCCTGTTTGGTTGGGGCCCTTTGAGGGAGGTGAGGAGAAAGGGCAAGGGTGTTTGACCGGCAAAAAACCGAAAGGGTGAAGGGTATAAAGCTTTGTTTTTTTTTTTTCTTTGGTGTTTCCTTCCCTTCCAAAAATGGAAGATTTTGGAGGGGTGAGAGGTATTGTGCTCTAATCTGATTAAAGCGCTGATGGCTATTCCATCAACAATTCAATATTTCCAGTGTAAAAAACTCGTCTTCCTTCCTTTTCCTTCTCTTGAGCCTCTCTCCTCCACCGGCGTTGGCCTCACTCTCCCTCCCCCTCACGCGGTTTGGTGTCCGTCAACCCTCTATTTTTTGACCACGGTTGTGTCCGCATGATCTTCAACGTCATAGATTTTTGGCCAACATTGTATAATTATAGTATAACACGATAATTTATTTATGGTGTGTATTTTTTTGACTGGGTTTTGTGACATTCGTGTAATTTATATGTTAATATATGTACACCTAAATGAGATAAAATGATAAAATTTAATTACATATGATAGAGTTTTGATATCTGAGTTTTAACAATAACTTTTATACATCAGTCCTGTGTGCAATTTTCTTATTTGGACAGTTTTTCTTTTGCCATTTTCCCTAAAAAAATTACAACATAAAGATCTAAATATAAATATTGTAATTGTTTTTCGTCTTTTGATTTTTGTCTTCAAGCTTAGTCTTGCCTTTTAATTAAAAAAGGGTTTCATCCTTCTACTCCAGACCCCAGCAGGCCTCCTCCCAGTGCAGCGACGCTGCCACAAAATAGGGGTTCGTCCTTCTACTCCACGCCCCATCCGGCCCCCTCTCAGTGCAGCGACGCTGCCAGAGCGACCACCTCCGACATGAGAAAAGCAAAAGTAAATTCTCTTCACACCGGAACCCCGCAACCCCCTCCTCCCAAAATCTTCGTTTCAGATCTGCGAAAAATAAATCAGAAGCTGGTGTGCTGGTCGCCACCGAACGTCAAAATGTGTTGCTTCTCGCTGTAGATGGAATCTGATGACTGGGGAAGAGTCAAGAGGATGAGAAAAAATAGGAGTTATGCCTACTTGACAAATAGAGGAATTTAATTGCGAAGTGTACGAAAGTAAAGTTCAAACTCATTAGATCTGAATGAAAAAATCAACTTTGTAACTGCTAACAAAAATTTGAAATTTGTCACGTCTAAAATTAAAGGATCCTAACCGTGCTGTTGGCGAAATGCTGGTTGACATTAATGGCAGGAAACAACAGAGTTCCATTAGCTTGCAGCTCATTAAGCCTGTCAATACCAGCGGTGGTCTCTACGGTGACACCAACGAGTCTGTCCTTCATCTTGTGGTACCTCATAGGATCAGTCTTCAACCCATCCCTGATCATGCTGAGAACAATCTGAAACTCAGCATTGTCAGTAGAAGAGGGGTCTGGCAACTGACCAGTCTCGGCATAAACCTCTCCAGCTTTAACACCCTCATGGATCAAGAGGGTAGCGTCACCACCGTCGTCAACAATCAGATCGGGACCAACACCAGCACCCCAGTCAAGGGCACGTTCGGTACACAACCAGTACTCCTGACGAGTCTCCCCCTTCCAGGCGAATACGGAGGCTCTGTCACGAGCGATGGCGGCGGCAACGTGATCCTGAGTGGAGGAGGTGGGGCCGGAGCACCAGCGAACTTCGGCTCCGAGAGCAGCTAGGGTTTCGATGAGGACGGCGGTTTGCTTCGTCATGTGGAGGGAACCGGTTATTCTGATGCCCTTGAAAGGCTGGGAAGGGCCGAACTCAGCACGGCAAGCCATGAGACCGGACATTTCGACCTCAGCGCGCTCGATCTCGAGGCGACCGAAGTCAGCCTGAGAAAGGTCCTTGACCTTATACTCACGGCCATCGGTGGTTTTCTCGACGACAAAGGCCATGACGGCGGCAGGAGAAGAAGAATTTCTCCGTGCGGGAACAGAGCAAGGGCAAAAGAAGAGAGGTGAAGGTGAAACTCTTCACTGAAGAGCAAGGGAACTAATATAATTAAAAAATTATATAAAATTATATTTATATTAATATTATAAGTTTGTTGTGTAATTTTATTCAATTCAAAAGAAAGAGAGTGAAGAAGAAGAAGAGAGAGGGAAGAAGGAGAGTTTTCAAAGAGGAAGGGTGCTTGAGTGCTTCGAGTCGAGGGGAAAGGGGGCGTATTTATAGGGAAATGGACGGTGGAGATTTTTTTCGAGCCGTGATCTTTAAAGGCCTTTAGGCGGTGGTGACGCTTCTGACAATTTCATGTAATGGAAAACCCGAAGGTAAAAATATGTATTTTTTTATTTTTAATATAAGATCTAATTATTAAATTAATTTTGATTTTAAATATAAAATCTATTTTATATATATATTAATTTTTTTTTAATTTATTCTTATAGATAATCTCTTAATCATAATCAAGTGAATGAAAGGGAAAGAATATTAAGAAAGATGATTATGATATTTTACAAAAAATATATCATACTTTTTATAATTAACTAATTTACTTAACTTTTTTAATCTAATCAAATTGATTAAATAGGTCTTATATTAAGGATCCGGGGAATATATATATCTAAGTTTATATAAATTTTTAATTTGATATGTTAATATAAATACTTTTTATTTATCTAATTCTAAATTTAATGGTGTAGATTATAATTTTTATAATAATAATTGTTATTTTAAAATTTAATAATATTCTGTCAATATTTAATATTCCAATATCAATAATTTTTGTTAATTGGATGATAGACTTAAAAAAAATTTTATAAAATTAAAAAATCAAAATAAAATTTTGTTAAAAATATTTTATAAAAGTAAATAAAAAAAATTTCAATAAGGTAAGAGGGAAAAAAAATCAATAAGGACTCCGGTTATTTCACCGTGAGTGTCACTGCGTCCGTCCTCCAAGACCACAAAACGAAACAAAAGGTGACGGACTCACGGCGAGAGAAAGCATAAATCAAATCTGCTGTGCCATACTTTTATTGGACAGTCACAGATGATATGGTGCACCGGGAGCACGAAAGAATTTCCCCAGTGAGTGCGTGACCGCGAGACCCTCCAAGCCTGTCTGTGGTCTACACGTCACCATGTCCGATGAGATGTTTCTGCCTTTCCGGCGGACACCCCGCGTTGCTTGGCGCCCGCCATTGCGAGTGCGATGGTACATTGCCTCCCCGCTTGTTCCTCAAGGACGCCGTTTTATTTGCGTGGAGAGAAAGCTGTCCGTAGTCTAGAGATTATTCGGTTTTTTTAATAAAAAAATGCGTATTATATGCATTTAAATTAAAAAAAATAATAGGCAAAATATATAAAAATAATAGGCAAAATATAGTAATTATTAACGGATAATAACATATTTAAAAATATTGAATCTTTGAATTCCATCTCTACATATCATTATCATATACGCACACAAATATAGCATTCAATTTGTGGGATTGTAAATTTGATGATCTCTAGCACCTTTGACTAAGGGATACGCATCTTTTTATAGATTCATTTACCCTTCTATTTTATATTTATCATCCATTAATGATGAGCTTAATATTAAAGCACTAGAATATTATATTCATTTCTGGACATAGTGAAAGCCTTTGGCCTTGTGTCTATATTTATTAGTTTTATTACATAGTGTGATGTTATATATCGAACTTTTAAGTTGATTATATCATATAGGTTATAATTAACTAATTTATTTAATTTTTTAAGAGGAGACAAATTCATATGAAAGATTAGGAAAGTATTTTATAAATGAGTTATTATCAGTTAATAATAACCATCTTTTTCATTTAAAAAAGTGTTTTTTTATTTCATTTTGTTTCCTGTTCCATGATTCCATGAACCTAACATTTTCCGAGAATCGCAATGGCGATGGAGAGAAGCCAGGGGCGGTTTCTCCACCTATCTCAAGACGCGAGGCAATATACAAAATATGGGTATTGGGTAAGATGTCCTTTCCTTCGTCAAGAAGGTCCGATAAGATTCAAAATATGATTTTGAGAATAATTTCTAAAGAAAAGTGAAAAAAAAACTATTTTGAGAATAAATTTTGAAAGAGTAAAGTTTGTGAACAAATAATTCTAATAAAATAAAAATATTTGGCTGATTATTATCAAAAGCTCTTTTTTCAAGTATTATAAATTACTTAAAAGAACATAAACTAATATGATAATTATATGAAAAAAATTTAAATTTGCAATTTTTAAATTAATAAAGTAATAAATAATATTTTTGTCACATAAGAAGTAGTATATAAAACAAATAATTAATTAATAACTAATAGGGTGAAGGTCTAACCAACACCTGGGGCACATATAAAAAATGTTTTAAGTTGTTAGATGTATTAAATGCACCTGAAAAAATATTTTAGTATATTGAATGCATATTAATTATAATTAATATATGTACATATATTTATAAATTATAAGATTAAATATACTTTTAGAAAAATGATAATTCTTTTTAAAAACGATCATGGTTTTCCCCCTCAAAAGCAAAATAGCTCACTTTTGGAAAAATCACGGTTTTTCATTCTGAAACCATGGTTTTAATATAAAGTGATTTTGTAAATATATATATAAGGGAAAATTAAGGTGGGGGTCCTTATAGTTTCACTGAATTTTGAATCAGGTCCTTATAGTTTTTTTCTATTTTATCCCATCCTTATTATTTCCTCAGCTATCAGTCTTGGTCCTTCTGTTATGCATGCCGTTAGTTTAGATTGATTAGGGGCTGACATGGCGCTGAGTAATGCCTGACTAAGCACATCATCTTCCTCATAGTTACCTCCTCCTCCGTCAGATTCTCTCTCCCCCCCCCCCCTCCTCTGCACAATTTCCTTCAAAGTAACATCGTTACCTTTCCACCACCATCATCTTTAATTATCTCCTCTTGCAGAAGCCTCATTTTGTGTTCCAGACTCATCACTTCCTTTTTGCGACCATAATTGTATCCTCCTCCTCCCCCATTCTTGCCACCTCCCTTGGTGCTCAGCTGCTAGTTGCCGTGACTCGGCTTCGGCTCTTGCGGCAACGTGGAGATTCCACAATCGTTCCATCTTCGGATCTAGTGACCGGCGTCATGGGGTCGAGGAATGAGAGGTGCCTACTCTTTGAGATATATTAACACTTGAGTAGATTGGTCCTGGTAAAATGGATAGAACGTGATGGGACCTAGTGGAAGCAGCAAGCACTTTCAACTCCACCAATAATTCTTTCTCTTTTGTGAAAAAACAAATGAAGATGTTGACGAAGAAGAATCTGAAACATGGAGAGGAGGAGATGAAGCCATAGAAGTTCTTCCCAGTTCCTTCATTGTATATGTGTAAATTGGTGTCTCCCATGATAATGTTTCCGACAATTTAAACAATGATGATACCAATCAAACTCCTAGAACAAGTTCCAACTTTGCGTTCTTCTCTGATCCAGCAAACGTCGTTATTCTCCTAACACAATAAGCACCATTAAAGAAAATATTAGCGTAGCAAGAATGAATGGGCTCTAATAGCTTGGGTAGTAACGTCATTCTGCAGCATGTGCTCCGTGGAGGAGGGAGAAAGAGAATCGGACGAAAGAGGAGGTGCTCTGTGGATGAGGGAGAGAGAGAATCTGACGAGAGAGGAGGTGCCTATGAGGAAGATGGTGTGCTTAGTGAGGCATTATTTAGTGCCATGTCAGCCCGTAGTCAACCTAAACTAACAACATTTATAACAGAAGGACTAGGATTGATAACCGAGGAAACAATAAGGATGGGATAAAATAGAAAAAAACTGTAAGGACCTAACTCAAAATTCAATGAAACTATAAGGACCCACAAATTAATTTTCCCTATATATAATGTTCGGATGTTAAGCTCCCAAAATTATGGTTTCGTTTTGGACTTTCGGCGGCCGTGGCTAATTTCCCACATATTAGGAGGTTCAAATGTTCTGAGATTTGCCGACGGCAGTTCTATGGCTTCAATTTTTTTTTTGGCCAGCAGTTCTATGGCTTCGACAGCTGTCGCTTTGTAAGCATAGTAATTTTTTGGGGAAATTGCAAAAAAAGACCTTGAAATTGTAAAAACGCAGATAGGGACCCTTGACAACTTCACTTTGGGTTTTGACAAGAATAATATGCCCTAAAGTTGTCAAAACCCAAAGTGAAGTTGTCAAGGGTCCCTATCTGCGTTTTTGCAATTCCAAGGTCTTTTTTTGCAATTTTCCCTAATTTTTTTCCTATTAATATAAATTTTGATATTTCAAGTTTTTTTATTTTGATTTTAATTTCTAAATTTTAGTTCTTTAAGGGGTAAAATAGTTTAAATTTTTATTAAATTATAAGAATCAATGTTTTTTAATAAAAGAAACTTGAATGATCAAAATCTATAATTTAAAATTTGAGAGATGAAAGTTAAAATGAGAACAAATTTAAAGGATTAAGAATTATATTAACTTATTTTTCCATTATGTGCATCGACATAGAATAAGAGATATTTTAGTATTTTATAACTATGAAACTATACGATTTTTTAAAAATGTCAAAATATTTAGATTAAAATATGACAAACCTCGTCACAAAATAGATATTGTTTTATTGAACTGTAATTTAGATATATTTCATTTTGTTTTTTAATTATGAACTTTTATATAAATTTTAGTTTAGTTTCCTAATCTCATGAAGTAGTAGTATTTAGTCTCCTAACAGTCTAACTCTACTCTCATTAGCCTGAAAGAGTTAATATTTTTATATTAATTATTGTTATTTTAAAATTAAACTTAATAAATTATTATTTAAAAATATAGCTTCTATATTTAAAATATTAATCTTGTTATTTTTTATTGAAACTAACATGGTTAAGTTTAAAGCCGTGAAAAATACTTGATAAAATTAAAAAATTAAAAAAAAATTATGTATAA